TTTTTTTTATGAAAAAAATCGAGAAAAGTCAAAATGATTGAGAAAACCAGAAAGAGTGTGAATGTGAATGTATGAATACATAATAATTACACCTACGCATCCACATCCACACCCTTTCGAAGGAGTTTCAATTTTTTGAAAAACATTTTATTTTACAATGTAGTAAGTCCATTGGACCAAACATTGCATTAGTTGAGATATTGGATCTTTTCAGGATAGAATCGAAAATTAGTTGTTGAGATCTTAAAGAGTAATACTCTTATAGATCATTAAGTTTAGTACTAAATCATTTGGAAACTAATGACTCAATTGTCATTAACAACATTAACATTAATATACTCTAAACAATGGGATATGCACGATTACTAGAAGTTATTTAATTAGTATACAAACTAGAAGCATTCATATGCATATTTATGGAAGCGGAAAAGCCATAGAACACAAAAAAATCACCTAATTTCACTTTTTTTTTTTATCAAAAAGGCAGTAATCATAGTGAAGGTGTTTGTATAGCAGTAAGTAAAAATTTAAAGGCATCGCGTATAGAGATAGATACACAAAACACGTAAGCGATCGATCTTGTAGAACTCTTTGACTTACTACGGATCATGGCTGTGTACTGGCTAAATTATTAAAACATGTATTCCTCATTAAATTCTTCTATTGATAGTCTATGATTTCATTCTCACTGGAGATTCTAATGCATCAATGAGAAAGAGGGAGGAACATTTCTTAACTCTTTGTAGCTATTGTGGGTTTCGAGCAGATCCGTTTGAATTTTTTGTATAGCACTCGATCAACATTTGTTATTTAAAGAGTGTGAATGTGGATATCACTGTTTCTTTCTACTCAGCTAGCATCCGCACCTGTCTATATCGATTTTTTAGTACTTTTAAAAGAAAAAAAAATTGATTGTGATCCGTGTAATGCTAGTAGCTATGATATTGTTTGAAGCTATTTTATTTGAGAATATAACATATTTTCATTAGAAGATGTTTGTATAATACATGTAATAAAACCAATTCGAACTTTTTAAAGTTTTTTATATAAGATTTTTTTAGAATATAAAAAGATTAAAAAATTCTAGGGATATTTTCTTTTGCTGCGTGCACACTAGTAAATTAGATTTTCATTTAAAAAGAGCATCCAATCATCAACATCATTGGATTGAAGTGATGAAGAGAGAAATCGAAATTATTAAAACTATACATTTGCTTTCCATTTATTTAAATAAATAAGCTTTTATTTATTGATATTAAATACTGCTTGAATATTCGTGAAAGAGCTTTGTAACAGTATCAGGCGTAATTATGAGACAAAGAAAAATTATCAAGTTGTTGTTTCTATTCTATTTCGTGTATTATTTGATATTTGTGACTTTTATATATCACAATATTGTTATTTTACACATTCAGTTTTGGTGGTTTGCAAGATGAAAGATGAATCATATTAATGGAACATTGTATTAGGTTGTTGATATAATAATTATATTTTTTTGAGGCAAAAAATATTTACATGGGCGAAGAGTGTACCTTATATCTAAAAATAGATTGTAATCATTCAATAAACTTGTTTATTTACTCATTTAATCAACATCTACATGCTTATTTTCTATAAAAACATCGATATAAAAAAATAAGAAAAAAAACCGAAATCACAGATAAAAAAAGACTATTAATCAATGTTTCGAAAGACATTGGTAAAAAGAAAATACTGATCTTATCTTTGTCGAAGAAATAAAAAAACAGTTATTCTCTCTCTTCTCTCCTATCATTATCAATCTGCTGTTGTCCATTCTATTGTTTGACTTGTTTCATCTAACATATTCAAATCAAGTCCGTAAATAAGTAAAATCTAAAGTATCAACAATAGATCATGTTTATTTATTTATTGAAATCAATGATATCAAATACATACATCATCGGGAATATTGTAAATAAAATTTGAATATGCTTTTCCATTCACATTCACATTAGTCACACTTCTATGCAAACCAAGAACTTTTACCATACCTAATGCCATTGAGGAATTTTTGTCATTTGTTACCAAAGCATTGATTGCCAAGACATTCTATACATACGTGAAACAGTTAAGAAAGGAATTCATAGGCATGGAGAAGATCGATAGTTTTAGACAAAAGATCCGTTCCTATTATGCTGATATTCACATCTCTTCACCGGTTTGTCGATTATGCAATTATATCTGCAACTTCTCTAGGAAATACTTTAATTATCTCTTATCAATCTTTGAGACAATATCGAACACTTCAACGGCTGTAGATACTGAAAACTTACTGATGCTGTCACATTGAATTCGAAGTAGTTATAAGTTTTAGTTTCAATCGTATCTAAATTATTACAGCATACTATTTTCCAGTCCAATAGAAGAATACTTGTAACATACCCATGGAATCACCATCATCCCAAAAAAGACTTCCACTAGCATTTCCTGATTGAGACAATGCAACAAGTAATACAAATGGATTTCCACGACCGATAACTAGATCAGGTCCAGGTATTTGCATCGGAATAATAAATCCACCACGAATATGAACATTAATCTTTTGAATTGGTGTGTCAAAATCAACATATTGTCCCACTGTTGTTATTTGTATACCTGATGAAAATTCATACCAAACATCTTGTGGAACGTAAGCATGAACAGTAGATGAATTCTAAACAATGAAAGATGAAAAAGTTTTTCAAGTCATTTTGTTAAGTGGAACTATTTACTGAAACTAAATTTGGAGAAACAAGAATAGCAGGACCAACTAGGAACTGTCGATCAATATTATAAGTAATCTCATCATTTGGATATCTAAATCAAAGAAAGAAAGTATCGAATTTCATAGATAAGTATTAGTAGAATGATTCATACTCGAAGAAGAGTGGTTCTATCACCGTTGTCGAAATTGTACTTGCTTTAAAAAAGAGTGTATACCAATATGGAAGCAGTGAATATCTCATAAGTAATGCTTGTTTCATAATCTGTTGAGCTTCCCATGAGAAAACTGCAGGATCTTGAGCCTAATAAAAGAAAATGAAAAGTAAATAATAGCTGTGTTCAGATCATACTCTTCAGTCATTAATAAAGATTTGCTATGTAGTCTATTCATTTTTATAGGATTTCGTTTACAATCTACTATCATCAAGTTTTATATACGATTATTTTTATCAAACAATGTTTACTTTAGCACCAATTGCATTATGATTTCTCATAAATGGGTAGAAAGCACCTAACACCATCCATTTTGTGCATAGTTCTTCCGTAGTATCATCATTAAAACCACAAATTTCAGCACCAGCAAATGTCATGCCAAATATATTATAGTTAAGAATAGCTAAGCAAATGAAAAGTAGAATGAATTTGATGAAACGAGCAAAGTTTAGATATGTATAAAACATACTTGGAATTGATTGGTAAAGATCTGTAAACGAAGCAGCATTGTCACCAGACCAATGAGTGGTGTAGTGACCTGAACCAGCAAATGTTGAACGTGACAAAACAAATGGTCGCTTTTTAAGAATCGTTCTAAGAGCACTATAACATAATTATCATCATATATATGTACATAGTTAGCTTGGTTACAAAAAAAACACTTACACATTAGTTGCTTTTGCTTCAAAATAACCATACATACTATGTAAGTTGTAATGTGATGACAAGTATTGTTGAGCAGACGTACATAAAGTTTTAGCAGTAATGTTTCCACCGTATACATCTATTAGTGTCAGTAGTTATGTCTCTATCAACTAGTAAAATAAATTGAACTACATACGAGGAGTAAATGGTGGATTATCTAAAGAATTAGTAGTACATCCTTCATGAGATCCATCAACAAAGTTTGATGGTTCATTCATATCCTATAACGAGTATAGATTTAGAGAATAAATGGTGGCTACAAAACACTTACAATCCACATCCCATCAACTGGAATGATTTCATGATAAGCTCCAAGGAGCTTTGTCCACCATTCAACTGTTTTAGGATTTGTGAAATCAGGAAAAACAGTGGGACCAGGCCAAACCTTTACAAATGAAAATTGACAAGCATTACTTCTAATAAAGATGACCATATACTGTTACCTCTCCGACGATTGGCTCAGTGGAGTTGTATTTAGTGATGAAAATACCTTGCTTCAATCCTTCATCGTATGGTGGATAAGTGCCCGGTGGTTGTGTTGAACTAATGCCTGGATCGATGATATTAACATAATGTTTGCCTTCGGCTTTCATTGTGCGAATAAGTTCAGGTAGACCATGGAATGTTTTGTTATCGTAGGTAAAATCAAGATGGGAGTCCATTGTGTCAATATCGGTCCATTGGATATCGACTGGAAAATCAGCGTCATGCATTCTCTACAACGAATAGATAGTCTATTCTAACTATTTCTAGCGTCGAAAATTACTTGCATAACTTCCATTAGGTTTTCAATCGTACCATATCCCCAACGGCATAGATGAAATCCAAGTGTCCAGTAGGGTGGCATTAACGGCTTCTATGAGAATAAACTAGCATGAATATCTGACATAGTTCCTCTTCTTTTCTTACTCCAATGACATCCCAGTATTGTTGAATGACATTCTGAACTGTTGGTCCAGTGAATACATACAAATCAATGATGCCACCAATAGTGATGTAAGTTAGAGCAGGCAATGGTTGAAGATTCACATCCATAGCATTTGCATTGAGGATAAACTGTCCATGAATATTTGTCTGACCAGTCTTATTCAGTTCAAGATTGATGTGAAATGGATGAACACCTAGAAGACTTTCGATCGTATATTGTAGTAATTCAAAAAAGTCTCTATCAACCATAAAGATTAGTATCTGGTCGTACGCCGATATCGCGTGTCCAAAATATTAATCTTTTCCATTCGTTTGTTATATTGATTAGCAATGGTTGTGTGTGCTCTCCAAAGCCATAAAGCAATGGACTTGATAAGCGAGTAGATATTTTTATGAATTGATCGGCAAAGATCAGTGGAGATAAACTTGAATCAAATCTAAACAAAATGAAGACAGACATGAATATGCACAACATTTCAATGAAGCAGTGCAATCTTTTCAATCACAGTATAAACTCAATTGAAGATTTAACTGAAAATATTGGTGTCCATACAATTTTTTGTTTTGAACAGAATAAAGAAACGATTGTCTATAATCATGCTGAATAAATATTGTTTTCCAACAATGTGCCATGACATTGTATTTAAGAGTAGTTATACGACATATCGAAAGATGTTAATCACTTCGTGTTTGATCCCAACAAAATTAGCGAACATTCAACTAGAGCCCTGCACAATCAATTTCCAGATTTTTCCTGAAAGTTTGATGAGTGGTACTTTTTTTTTGATCGAACTAGTCTTTCACGCTGCAGAACGCTATAGTTATAGTCTATCAGAATTTTTCTGTACGATCAGAAACGAGAACTCAATCGATATACAAATCCCATTGCCGCAAGCTTTTGGTTTTGTATGATGCAATTGAAAGAAAATACTCAAAATTAACATATCGAAATCTTCTATTAATATTGTGATTATTATTATTAGCACTTACAATGTGACACCTGTTGACTTTCGAGTAACTAGTATGGCAAATGGTTTCTGAGCAACTTCAACTTCATAATCAGTCATATCAGCTTTTTTTTCTACCACGGGCACATTGAGTGGCACTTCGAATCGTTTATTAACTGAGTCATAGATTCGAATACGAAATCGTTGTTGTGTTTCATAGATGAGATCAACTGTCAAATCCAGAATGTCATTTGGCATGAAAGTAGTTTGTGACTTGACGATGCGAATTCGTTGACCAAAATCTGTTGTTTCATTGGACACTATTGAATAGGTTGGAAAATCCGATGGATAATAACACCATGGAACACCTATATCTTGAAAATTAGTTCGATGTTTTTCTGTCAAATTTCCTTGTTGCATAGGTAATCGCCAACAACATTTTCGTGCTTCACATCTCTCTTGAGATGCACCATCATCTGGATGACAATCAAAACGAGCAAGATCCATACTTTGCTCACATTGTTGTGCACATATATAAGTTACACAGCACAAGACTGCAGAACTTGTGACAAATAACAAGTGTGTCATCCAACTAAACTCAACGCTTTTCTAGAAAGATAATTCAAATTTGTTTTTCATAGAAATCTTCCATACACAGTTGTAAAACAAAACAACGACAAACAACAGTGAAATTATTAGAGAAATCATATATCATGGAGAGAAGCAAATCATTAGTCAATATTTGTCACGAAAGCTGGAAATAAAATGTTTGTAAAAGAAAACATTATCTTAGAATGATGTCGTAGTATTAGTTCTTGAAATATTGAAATTTAGTT